TGCCAAATTATTTCCTTTTTAATTGAATTCCAAATTTTCATCCAAATGCATCTTGGATCATAGATCACAAAAAAACCCCAAATTACTTAGGTAGCAAATAAATGTATCATTCACCAGTGTTTCAGGCATGTAGGTTGTAGCTGTGTTGGTCTAAGGATGTAGGCAGACAAGGTTCTTTGGGTAAATGCGATATCTTCTATTAGACCAACTCAAATAGTTGTGAAAATTCTTCCTAGCAAGTTTTCAGGTACAAACACTCTTTGTCAGGCTGAGGAAGCATCTACAAATGGTCTGTGCTCTTGCTGGGTGGAGTGGTCAAGCAACCAGAGACCTTTGCAAGAAACCAGCTGGTTAAAATGTAAATTGAGGTGGTCAGTAGGTGAGAGATGGGTGGGGAAGGGGGAATGAATGTAGCTGTATTTAAAAGATGAGGGACTATTTAGTCCATGATTTTTTGTATCCAGGAGATTAATGAAGTGAAGTTCATAGGCTTGTCTGTGGAAGGTATTTTGTAATAGAACTGAGAGAGAAGAGAAAGTGGTTTTCTTGTGAGAAATGTGCCCCCACAGTAATTGTGTATTCTTGTTTTTGATAGAATTCTGGTGTGCATTCATTTTGGTGCACAGTTGTTGTTTGGTTTCTCCTATGTATTTTCCATCAGGGTATTTGGTGCACTGGATGAGATGTATTACATTTCTTGGGGTGCAGGTATAAGATCTAGGAATGTTGATGGTTCTGTTGTGGGGTGTAGTAATTTTGGGAGTGGTGGAGATGTGTTGGCAGGTTTTACATTTCTTGTCCCAGCATTGTCTGGATCCATTCGGTATGTTCTGGGCCGTAGGAAGTTTGCTTCTGCTAATGAAGTTAGGGAGTTTCAGTGCCTCATTCACCAACGTTAACTTAAAAATATAAAAAAGAAAAACCTGAATAAACATATTTTTTTGAAGCTCTGTAACTGCCTAAATAAGTGTAACGTTGTATGTAGTGTAACCTCCTGGCTAACCAAAAATAGCAGCAAATGATGCTGACTATCGAGATAATATTAATTTTCTACAGGAGAATAACTAAAAGGTAAAACTAAATTTAGTAATAATAGTAACAATAACTAAAAAGTACAGAAGTGCAAAAAATGAAATATTTATTAAAATAATTTTTTGCTTGTTTTAAAATAAATCATGATTTAAGTTCTTCAGTGCCTTATTTAAAACACTTTAATTAAAGTGATCTACAGTAGAACCCCGACTTAAGTGTATATTGTGTTCCTGAGAAACCTCGCATGTGTTGAATTCACACAACTCGAGGTGAATTTTCCCATAGGAAATAATAATGAAGTGAGGGGTAGCATTCCTTAGACCTCACATTTATTACACCAAAGGTACCAAAATAAAACCTTTTTCAACCAATACTTTATTTATTATGTTACAAAAACATATTGTAAACATATGCTGCTACCACAATGGCAACACTGAAACTGAGCGAACTTCCAGAATCCTGCTTGGGAACCCAGACTGCGCATAACTCCATTTGACTCAGTCTGCACATCTCGCAAGGCATTCACTTATATACACGAATGTGCATCTCGGGGTGTATTTTTCTGCTAGGGTGTTAATATTCACATAAATGCGAGACTTGGGTAAGTCAAATACGGATAAAATGGGGGTCTACTGTACTCTGATTTTTCCTTGATTTATTTTCCACTCTCATATTTTCTTCAGTATAAAGGCTTTCTATGTATATCTATAGATATCTAATCTATATACATACATACACGCGCATACGCACACATAAATTAGAAGTCAACAACCTTTTAGGCTGTGGGCTGGAGTGACCCATATATAGGGTGTACCAGTAGCTCTAAGGTGATGACATTCACTCTTTTCCTTGACTGATGTTAGTGAGCAGTGTAGAACCAGCATGCTTAGCTTGTAGGTTATGACTTCACTTCCAGTTAATCTAGGGTAGAGGTCAGCAACCTACATCTTGTGGGTCATTTGGTGACAGAGGACTTTAGTAGCCATTGCTTTCATTTTTCCCCTTGGGGAAAAGTGCATACATATATCTGAGGATGGATCGTAAGTTCTTTATCATGGCATTCTAATTATGGAAGGACTTCAGAGGAATTAAGGGAATAGCATTGAAAGTCGGTCAACATTTAGAGAGAGATTTTGTGAATCCTTAGAGCAAATGAAACAGGGTTGCAACCCAAGTGAAAATGGAACCTAGGCTTAACTGATATCCCTACCTGTGTAAGCTAGTTGTTGCTGAAAGGACTGTCAGACTGGCTTAGAAACCTTCCTGCGTGGATTGTAGTGGGGGTTTCTACTAAAACTTTGAGAACCAGTCGCAAAGAGAACCTAGTCACTCTGCCCTCTTGCTTGCTGACATAATTATGGTGCTAATTCATAGTTTAATAGTTGGTAGGGTCAGAAGGAACCTGAACAGATCATCAAGTTCGACCCCTTGCCATGGGCAGGAAAGAACGCTGGGGTCAAATGACCCTGGCAAGGTGCTTATCTAGCCTCCTTTTGAAGACCCTCAGGGTAGGAGCGATTACCACTTCCCTTGGAAATTGGTTCCAGATCCAAGCTGCCCTGACTGTTAAGTAGTGCTTCCTGATGTCTAGCCTGAACCTACTCTCAGTCAACTTATGGCCGTTATTCCTAGTTACTCCTGGTAGTGCTCGGGGGAACAGGGTCTCTCCCATTCCCCGCTGGTACCCCTTGAAAAGTTTATAGACAGCCACCAGATCACCTCTTTTTCTGTGTATATTTATGCATATGATGCTACCAATATGAAATCCTATCTCTCTCAGTGCAATGTTTCAAAAGGGTAAATATTATATAAATATTATATACACATATAATTGGTATTTGTTAAGAGATTTTATTTTTATACTCCTGTATTTTTAACTTATCCATTGTTCACTATCTGTTTGTAAACAGAGGTTTAAAATAGAAGCACTTGGTAATTGTAATAATATTGCTGTCATCCTTCTATAAGTTGTATCTCTTTTTCTTTACCTTTTCGACCTCTCCTATCTTTTCTGCTTCTTCCAGTAGTATGTGTAACTCTATTCAGATATACATGCTAATACTAATTTAAGAAACATTGCCCTTTCTGAAAAACAGAAAGCACTTCCTGGAGCTTCCAACTGTTTATTGAATTTACCTATACTTCCAGATAGAGGCAGACAGAGAGAGAGATCTGTGGGAAGATACCAGAGAGAATTTTTAAATTTAGCCGTATGTACTTTTACAGAAAAGAGAAGCTTGAAACAGAAATATGATCTCCAATTTTGCTCTCCTTTATATGCTTTGCACTGGTACAACATTTTTATAGCTTCTTAAGGTGAAGTAGTAAAAGAGCAGAAATTAGAACAACATGCTTGAGCCTGCCAAGCTTTTCTTGATTTGCTGCTCCTTTGGTCTTTGTTGTAATTGATTTCTGTATCTTGATCTTTGCCATTGCGTAAGTAACTGAGAATTTTGTCATGCTTAAATTCCTTTTAAGTTGAGTTCATTCTACTCTCCTGCCTAATTTTTTCATGTTATCCTGCTATAAAGACTAATAAAAAAAAGTATCATCACTGCAAAGTTCTTGCTTGGAATCTATATATAGAAAGAATTGCTTTTAAAACCAGTTCTTGGTAAAACATGGCCTCATACCCTCCTCCTTGTATATTCTGAAAATCTGTGAAAACCTTGCATAGACAGAGAAACTTTGCACTCTCTTTTCACTCTAATTTTATTCATAATTGTGTGCGTGTGTATCAAGACAGAGAGAGAATATTTAACAAAACAGATTACAATATCCATACCAAGAGTTGCTTATATCATAAATCATTGGTGACACACAGGGGGTACACATGCACCCCCTGAGATTGGTGGTGCACCCCCTAAGAGAAGCGTCACCAACGCTGCGGCAACATCAGGTGGTTGCCACTCGCCACCC